TAGAAAGGAACACAAAAGTATGACTGCGCTTTCTAAAGCACGTTTTCGAGATAAAATCTCGTTCACCTGTCATGAAATGTGCATTATAAGCATACAAGGTCTCGTACACACCAACAAGCATTGCGAGACTACAAAATGGTGGTGCCCTGTCGCCAGATGTAAACAAACCACGCAATTGCATAAACGCTTATCTATGGCATGGAACACCAAAATCCGATAAATAATTTTAAAAAATGTGTTTCTCCGGAAGAAAACTGGAGGTTTTCAGGATTTTTTAGAAATATCCGGATTGTTAATGTGATGGTTGAAATTTTTTTGTTCTACATAAATCTTGTTATTTTTAAAAATTCATTTGAATATCTATGATCCTGACTTCACTGTTGTCATTAAGTAACCACCAGCATACATAGAGAGAACATGTAGTCTTAAAGCTGTGAATCTGTTTCTCATTTATAGACTGTATACAGGTACAAATGTCAAGAAATGTAATATGAAACTCACAGATGATCCCAACATGATTACTGAACCTAATTTACAACCTAGAGATCAAAAGGTTATATAGGCCAAAAATTTATATCACTAAAAAAAAATAAGATAAGAACTTCTGATGATACCAGATAGCTCACCCATGAAGGAAAAAAGAATTGCTAGTATCAATACAATTCCTAAAAGGTCACGGAAAAGGTTGAACAGACGCACTTTTGAACCAGTTCTTGTTTTCGGGTCTGCAGCTAGGTATCCTTCAGCAAATGCTACCTGAAAATTAAGTTAAAATTATCTGCAACTATATTTAACAATTTAATCAACTCCTTTGATAAAAATTAATTGTTGTTTTGAAACAATACTATTTTGTAATACTATTAGATGGTCCACTGCCTTCTACCTTCTATAAAAATTCTTTCTTCAACTTAAAAACTCATTAGAGATACATATCATATTACTAATGGTCTAAGATACCCAAGAGTCTTGACCATTTCTTAAACTGTACATATTAAGTTTTAAAGATTAAAATATACCAACTCAAAATGAGCAATTAATGTGTTCACAGGAAAACAAAGTTTCACAATAAAAAGGATAACAATACTTAAGATAAACAACAATGTTTATTTATAACATAAGTAGACACAGATTAACATTTCGGAATTCAATAGATTCCATCTTCAGTATCTAAAGCAAAATAAAAGAATTACAGTAATTTAATTAAAGCTATAGTAACATAAAAATGAAATAAGTAACAAGCAAAATACTGTACATATTAGAAAATGTGCAATTTAAACAAAGACTGCATGCTGTTCAGTGTTGGTGAAAGTTGTTTGATGTGGAGGGTTTCTTTTATCAGTAATTCCTGATCAGTGTTGGCTTAGCAAAGGACATTAAAATTTGATAGGTTAAGTTTATGTCCTGTTTTTTTCACTTTGTTGGCATATACACGAAACACTGGGGTTACTCAACTTTTTTTGTGTCTTCATGGAAATTCCCATATACTCTTTGGCTCTAACTGGCAGATGGCATTTGGTTTTGCCAATATAAGAGGACTTACAGTCTCCACACGTGAAAAGATATAGAAGCCACGAACAAAGAGAAATTGGGAGAGTCTTTATTAGAGAAAAAATCCTGTAAGGGGAATGTGGGTTTAAAACCTAAAATGAAATCAACTTGGGGGTAGTAACAGAGAATTACACGTTTAATTTGACTTTTTAAAGTTAAGCTTTGTTTACCTATTTACTACAGACAAGAGTATATAGTAAGTTTGGGTACAGTTGGTAGTCTGGGTAGATTAGTGAGTTTCTTAGTTAGAAAAGTATTAGTAATTCTTTGTAATAGATATTGAGGGTAGCCGTTACATTTAAAACCCACAACATCTATTACAAAAAGTGATGAGACAAGTACAACCACTCCCACCCCATAGTATACCCTAACCTTGCATTTCATAGCTAACTGAAATAAATAAATTTTGCAAAATCTAGCTTGACCAACAAAAAGGCAAAAAAGTACAGTCGGAGGCAGTCAACTATCAGTAAATTCCTTTGTGAGTCAATCAATATTAAGATCATTCATGAAATGAATTCGTAGCATATTCAAAGAATAATCACTGGTAAAAATCAGTTAGATTAACAACTCTAATATATAGAAAAGCCTGAGAGTTTTGGTAATACTAAGTTCCAACAATGGCTTATGTCATGTTGCTTAGCAACAAAAGATAACCTAATATTGTTGTTAGTCTGTGTACTGGAAGTATAAAATGAAATGTATAGACAACAAATCTGGAAATATTTGTTGATTTCTTAATTTAGTCTCCATATGGGCTCTGTCAATTTAATCGACAATGTGCCCTTTTATACTCGTTTAACCCTATTGCCCCGAGTATTCTTTACTGCACGACACAATATTTTAGTGTCTTACATTCAAAGTTTTATTAAACTACTTTTTACTTATGTTATACCAATTAGGATAGCATAAAATC